TTTTCTTGTTTTTTTTTTTCATTTTCAAAATTTCCGCCACATAAATATTTACGTTCACCCGAATTTCCTGGTAAACATATCCAGGCTTTCCTCACATGATAATCTCATGTGGCGATGATATTTTGCCCCATATTTCCTTGGCCAAAGTCGTTTTGTTTCAACACCTCACAACGGTGATGGCTTCATGTTCGCTTTGTTATTTTGAAAATGATATTTGAACTTTGGTTCCAGAGACCGTTTTGTTTTCTTCTTCTTCTTATGGTTAATCTTTCGATGGTTATCTGCGTTTCAATTTCCATCTAAAATATCAGGCGAACAGTTGACGAGTGCAAGTAACTCTTTTTCGCAAAAAAAAAAAAAAAAATCATTTTGTGTTTTTGTTTTGTTTTAATTTCATTATCTGCGTGTGAGCGTTATCATTTCAACAAAACGACCACCAGACCAGAAACTACGTATTTTCGCCGTTGCTGTTTTACGTTTTTCATTTTAATACAAGTGTCTGCCTTCTCTCGTATATACACACATACATACACATTTATGTGTATTTTTATATAGTTACCATTAGCATTTTTAAGGTGTTGCTGGTTAACTCGGTGCTGGTTGCCCTTCTCAGCCTCGGCGGGTCTGTCTGTTCGCCTGCCTTTGATTTGTTTCCATTAGATAAGATAAGCGAGTCTATTTCACCTGTTGCTCGTCGTTTTGCCTGTCTCAAAGCTGTCTCAAACAGTGTAAATATTAACAAAACGATTACCAAGCTCGGTAGCTGGTGGAGCAGATACTTTGAGATATATGTTAATATTTTTTTTAAATTATTCTATATTTCTTAAATTATCTCTCTTTTTTGGATTTTTTTATTTCTACGAGAAATTGGGTTGTTATTTTCACATATTCCTTTGATATCTTATCTTCCCAGACACTTAAAAAGTAAAAGGGGTTTTTTGAGGTACAACATAGCCCATCATGTGTTTACATAGAAGATTATAATGTTATACTCTTATCGGGGATATGATAGTATCGAAAGTCCAATATGTCAGAAGCGAACATTTGTTTTGACCGTCTTTGTAAGATTCCATTGTTTTGAAAAAAATTACGAAAAAAGTCAAATAAAAAAGAATGGACAAAGTTTTTATGACCTCCAACATTGTCAGATACCATATCGCACGATTTTATGTTAGAGTCTTATAGAAACGGAGGCCAGCTCGTCTATAGAGACTAGCTGGGAGCCAACTCGTCTATAGAGACTAGCTGGAGGCCAGCTCGTCTATAGAGGCTAGCTTGAGGCCAGCTCGTCTATAGAGGCTAGCTGGAGGCCCGCTCGTCTACCGAGGCTAGCTGGAGGACAGCCCGTCTATAGAGGCTAGCTGGAGGCCAGCCCGTCTATAGAGGCTAGCTGGAGGCCAGCCCGTCTATAGAGGCTAGCTGGAGGCCAGCCCGTCTATAGAGGCTAGCTGGAGGCCAGCCCGTCTATAGAGGCTAGCTGGAGGCCAGCTCGTCTATAGAGGCTAGCTCGTCTATAGAAGCTAGCTGGAGGCCAGCTCGTCTATAGAAGCTAGCTGGAGGCCAGCTCGTCTATAGAGGCTAGCTGGAGGCCAGTCCCTCTATAGAGACTAGCTGGAGGCCAGCTCGTCTATAGAGACTAGCCAGAGGCCAGCTCGTCTATAGAGACCAGCTGGAGGCCAGCTCGTCTATAGAGACCAGCTGGAGGCCAGCTCGTCTATAGAGACCAGCTGGAAGCCAGCTCGTCTATAGAGACCAGCTGGAAGCCAGCTCGTCTATAGAGACCAGCTGGAGGCCAGCTCGTCTATAGAGACCAGCTGGTGGCCAGCTCGTCTGTAGAGACCAGCTGGTGGCCAGCTCGTCTATAGAGACCAGCTGGTGGCCAGCTCGTCTATAGAGACCAGCTGGTGGCCAGCTCGTCTATAGAGACCAGCTGGTGGCCAGCTCGTCTATAGAGACCAGCTGGTGGCCAGCTCGTCTATAGAGACCAGCTGGTGGCCAGCTCGTCTATAGAGACCAGCTGGTGGCCAGCTCGTCTATAGAGACCAGCTGGTGGCCAGCTCGTCTATAGAGACCAGCTGGTGGCCAGCTCGTCTATAGAGACCAGCTGGTGGCCAGCTCGTCTATAGAGACCAGCTGGTGGCCAGCTCGTCTATAGAGACCAGCTGGTGGCCAGCTCGTCTATAGAGACCAGCTGGTGGCCAGCTCGTCTATAGAGACCAGCTGGTGGCCAGCTCGTCTATAGAGACCAGCTGGTGGCCAGCTCGTCTATAGAGACCAGCTGGTGGCCAGCTCGTCTATAGAGACCAGCTGGTGGCCAGCTCGTCTATAGAGACCAGCTGGTGGCCAGCTCGTCTATAGAGACCAGCTGGTGGCCAGCTCGTCTATAGAGACCAGCTGGTGGCCAGCTCGTCTATAGAGACGTTGTAGGCTTAGATTCCACTGCTGATCGAGCAGTGTTTCGGCATTCTGAGTTCGTAAAGAGTACTTTTTTTAAAAGATGACTTGTTAATTTCAAAATAATAAAACATAAAGCCTGTAAATACCGCATATACCGCATTTATAAATAAATCATCTTAAATAGGAAACATCATTTGTATGTGATTTCGCTATAAATTAAAGAAGGCAAATGACTGAAAAATCCCCTCATATTTTACAAAAAAAAAAAATTCCCTGATTTTGTACATAATTCTCAGCCTGTTAAGTTTTGAATAACCAAAACAAGCAAAATCTAAAATAAGCATCCGGTCCTCTTTATATTTCACAAATCCCATTATTTATACTACCGCTAGATCTGACGTGAAGATGGTATACAACGGTCCACTTCATCTGGTAACCCCAATACAGCACCCCCACCCCAAAGGGTTAAAATTTTGAATATCCATGAAGCTCATTAAACACGAAATTAACATCTGATTCCATTTAGACATCAACACAAGATTAGTAGAGATCGAATTTATTTAGGTACCTCACCCACAAAGGCTCAATTCATTTATCTGTCATATTTAAATATTTCTATTATTTATTCGTCGGAAACCCCAAAAATTCGTCGGAGGCCACCTGATCAGAATAAAATTATAAGGCAATTAATATTAAAATCGCCATAGAGTCCATTTTATTTTACCTACAGCTTTGTATTCTATGCTGGCTGATTGATATTGAAAATGGATTGTAGTGGTCCAGGTTTAGGCATGACCCCTATAGAACCATACCTCCCGATTTTCGGTATTTTGGGAGTTTCTGCCAAAATTTCCAACCAAATTAGATGAAACTTAACAATTAGGGTTTTTGAAGGGTTAGTTCTACCTTTGCAAAAAGGTGTTCGATTCAGGTTCACTAATTGGCATAAACCCAATAGAACTGTACCTCCCGATTTTCTGTATTTTGAAGGTTTTTGCCACAAATAAGCTTGCTTTGCATTTGGGGTTCTTGTTGGGTCTTTTCTCTCCTTGAAAAAAAATTTTTACTACAGACCCCCTAATTGATGTAGCCCCCATATAATGGTACCTGCCGATTTTTGGGTATTTCGAAATTTCTTTGCCACAATTTCCAACCAAATCAGCTGAAACTTGACAATTGGATTTCTCGGAAGGCCAGTCCTCTCCTTGCCAAAAAGTTTGCTTTAGGTCTTCTAATTGGTATAGTCTCAATAGCTCCTGATTTTCAGTATTTTGAAGCTTTCTGCCACAGTTTCCAACCAAATTAGATGGTTTTATAGGTTTCACGATTTGGGTTATTTTTATTTTTATTTCTTCTTTCTTTAAAAAGGATCGATATTCTAAGATAACATATTCTAATATTTTTATTTTGAATTAAATAGGATATGTAATACTATTTTATAATGATGACATTTGAGTCCAAATCTGTAAGCCACTCCTCTTCTCACGTACTCCGTATATAGGTCAATGGACCCTGTCATCTAAGATATTCACAATATGCCCTCCTTTACTACTGAAATCCACTTATTCACCGAAATAATAAAAAATCCAAACACAATTCTTTATTCACCAAAATTTCTGGGAAATTCCTCTTCACATCAATCAAGAAGAAGACCTAGCTAGGCCCACTCATTGCACTTACCCCAAAAACAAAACAAAATAATGCCGTTCATACGAATTTTAAATCCAAAAAACACAACAAAAAAAAAAATCCCAATGAATGAAACATTCGGCCGTTGAAGGCAGACAACAACAAAAAACATCCGAGCAGATGTGGGAAAGTATTGAACTGTCGTGTTTTTTATTTTTTGTTTTGATTTCGATATAGAAAAAAAAACAGGCCAAAACAAAAAAAAAAAAATAAAATAAAAAAAAATATTTTTCGCTTTATCGTTTAAGTATTGAATCATATGGCAGCGATACTGCGGCTGGGTTGGTTGAATGCTTGCTAGCGGCTGCTCGTTCGATGGCTGGGTGAACCCATTTGGCGTATGAGTCATTTATTCACGATATTAAAATAACGTCACTGTATTGTTATTATTTTGTTGTTGTTTTTGCTGCTGCTACTGCTGCGCCGGTATTGGTTTTGCCATCTTCGTCGTTGGTCGTTGTCGTCGCTGCTTTTTTTTGTTTTTGCTAAAATAGGGAATATCACCGCAATTCATTTAAAATGTCTAAAGCCGAACGCTGCAGCCAACAGTTGTCAGAAATAATTTCAACAAAACGGACGTTCAATGAAATTAATAATCAGAATAAACGAAAACCACCACCAACAACAACAACATCAAAGTGAAGTGAATAATAATGTTGAGAATAAAAGAACAATTACTGAGCTATACAATGTTTTGGCGGCGCAATGCCATAATTGGAGGTATAGATTTCAAACACGATTTACGAAATGTGTAATAAAAACCAAAAACAATTAACAAAAAATAGAAAAACAAAAACAAAAAAATTTAATTAAATTTAAAAACAAAAAAAACGAAACTGAAAGTGAATTTCATTTAACGTCTCTGTGTTGTTTGTTTCTCTTCCTCTCTTCTCTTCTCTCTCTCTCTCTTGCAGATGACACTATGCAACGTAACAGTAGCAAAGCAAGTCATGCATCATTGTCATCTCCCACCACATCCAATCACAACAATCAAAATAAATCCCACAGCAAAGATCATCATCATCATCACCAGTCATCATCCCACATTTCATCCTCAACGAGTGGTCATGGCAAAAACTCTAATCACGACTCCTCCGATTCGGGTATCTCAACTGGCAGTGGTCATCAGCATCATGCCAATAGTTCTTCGGCCACCTCGAAACAGCGCAAATCTCGCGGTAATAACAAACGTCAAGATGGCACTTCGAATGCTGGAAATTCCACGGCCACCAATGGTAGTGGCCAGCAGCAGCAACAAAAACAACAACAGCAACAACGTGGCGCTGCCTCAACGGCTTTTACGGTGAATGATTGGTTGCAAAACGATTTGTATTGTTACGAGAGACGGCGGTATTTAGCTTCATGCGGCGAAGGTGAGTAATCATTTTGTCCATGCGAACGAAGTACTTGAGCGGTTAGTTTTCTTTTTTCTGCTTCGACTTCGGCTTCGGCCTCTTATCATGGTGGAATTTCATAATTTGAAATAGTTTTGTCATCAGTCAGCATGATTTGCATGATAGGAGGCCAAGTGTGTTTAGTGAATGTGATACTGAGTTGGGAGTGTCGGGGAATTACTCTCTCTCTCTCTCTCTATTCAGAGAGGGGGGTTTCATAAGTTGTAAGAATTTGCCTTCGGTTAGCGGAGACCACGACAAAATATGGAAGGCTGATATAAATCAGGGTGATTTGCATGAAAATCAACTAAAAATGTTGGGAACAACTTAAAAAACTATCGGTCGATTTTTCCGACAGATGTATACCCCCACAGCCAATGTTCGATTATTTAAATATATTCTGAGATCTGTTATGATTATTCAAATTGTTGACCCTCTATGGAGTAGGTTCAGAAGAAATGGGCCAATATTGTCCATTTCGTTTCGGACCTAAATAAATATGATGTAAATATTGTGACGTGCCAGTTTTGGACCCTATCGAATATATAATAATATTTTTGAAAATCTTGAAATGAGCTTGAGATACCGGGTATGGTCGACCGAAGTATTCCATTTTCATACTTCATCTAATACAGATACAAAAATTGGTGTGGGCAAAATTACAAAAAAAAAATCTAATATTTTTATCCAATTCTATGTGAAGTCATAAATTCCATATTCATCTTAGGTTTCGGGTTAAGAGAAATATTTAGATACAGCGCTTGTAATGAATCGCTGACTTGTTTCGCAATTTATGACCTATAATGGAATGGAAAATTGTAACACTTTATGGGTGGAGGTACCAGAAGGAGTGGACCGATATATTTCATCTTCACAGCAGATCTTGTGTTAGTAGAAATAATGGCATGTGTGAAATATAAAGGGAGCCGAAAGCTTATTTCCGTTTTTATCACCGATTTGGTTATTCAAAATTTTGACCCTTTGTGGGGGAGGTACCAGGAGGAATGGTGCGACCTCTACCATCGTTATAACAGATCTGGTGCTGATGAAAATATTGAGATGTGCCATGTCTGAATGGAATCTTCTGTTACTATTACGTTTTATGAGCTCCGTAACTATTCCAAATACTGACCCTTTGTTGGGGGAGGTATAAAAAGGAGTGGATCTTGTGTAAAATATGAAGACAACCGGATGCTTATTTCGGATTTTATAACCGTTTTTGGTTCTTCAAAATGTTGACCCTTTGTGGGGGAAGTACCAGAAGGAATGCTCCGATCTCTACCATCTTTATAACAGATCTGGTGTTGATGGAAATACTGAGATGTACCAAGTCTAAATGGAATCGGATACTAATTTCGCGTTTTATGAACTTCATGAATATAGAAAATGTTGACCCTTTTGAGGAGAAGGTACCAAAAGGAGTGAACCGATATATTCCATCTTCCCACCAGAACTTGGGTTAATAAAAATATTGTGATGCGTGTAATTTAAAGACAATCGGACTCTTACGTCACATTTTATAAGAGTTATGATTATTCAAAATGTTGACCCTTTGTGGGGTAGGTACTTTATGGAGTGGGCCGATATTGTCCATTTTCACACCTGACCTAGCACTGATGCAAATATTAGGATATGCAAAGTTTTAGCAAAAACTGATTGTCCTTTCTCTTTCTGCGCAGGAAATTATTTTCTGTGCAAATGTTGACATTTTGTGGGGGAGGTACCAGAATGATAGGACCGATATTGTCCATCTCCGAACTAGGTCTATGTTTGACAATAATATTACGATGTACCAAGTTTGGATGAAATCGGTTACTCGCTATATACCCTCTCTAGCCATATTGCTGAGGGCATATTGCTGAGGGTATTGGGCGCCATTTTATATAGAAGGAAAAACTGATTAAAAATTATGGTAATATCTTCATTATTACAATATGGTATTGGTCTGGCAATAATCTACAGATATATGTCATATCAAGCCTTGAGGAAAATATTTTAAGTCAGGGAAAATTGTCCTAGACTTTGGAACACTTGGAAGGTTAATTTTTTAGTCCTGGATGGGAAAACATATGAAAGATGGCCAAATCGTCATTATTACAAGATCAGAAATAACTGGAGCCAATATTCTACAAATGCATGTCAAATCAAGGGCAAAATAATATATTTCTAAACCAATATATATGTGTCATATTGGGCGCCATTTTTACAGAAAATATTAATTCTTTTGCAGTGACGAGAACACAAGGCATATATTCAAATCGTAGACCTATATCCGGACTATTTAAATAAACTATATCTTAAACCAAAAGCAAAAAGTTTTATGGCATTTTAAATTAAAATTTGGGTATGCCATGTTGGGAGCCATTTTTGTTCAAGGAAGGGAAACCCTATTAAAAAAATATGGCTATATTTCTAAAATTACAGTGTGACTAATTCATAATTTTTTACTAATTATTATTTATTAAACCCCAAGCACAAGATTATATGGAGAATTAAATTCAAATCAAGACATTTCATATTGGGCGCCATTTTTGTTTAAGTATGGGAAAACTATGAAAAAATATGGCTATATTGCCACTATTACAGTGTGAATATCAGCAGGTTATAAAGAGGCTTAAACCTTCAACTCTTTGAAAAATCAAGAGTCAAGAAACCGTTTTTTAACGCCTTAGAAACACGTTCGCTCCCGATTCCCTTTATTTTTGGAATTTTTAATTGTTTACAAATTTGTTTATTTATGATGAAAATCGTTGAAATATGAGGTTACCACACCCAGGGACCCGTTATAACCTCTTCCCGGAGTTCCTCAACCCCTAATTAAGCCCTTTTTTGCTTTCGAAAACTGCGCACAACCACAAAAAAAATTTAAAAAAATCAACAAAAAAAAAAAGCCAGCAAAAAATCCAGCTGATGAAACATGGAAAAGCAATTGCAAAGCGAGTGGTTTTTGTTTACAAAACGAAATTGCGACTTAGTAACTCAAGTAAACAAATCGAATCGTCTTTCCAAAAATGTAAAAACAAAAAAAACACAAAAAAGGTTACTAAACCTCTAACCCTAATCCAATGAACTGCAATGGTGCGCCGCCAATGTGTGTTATCAGGAACGAGCCGATGCCGCCGCCACGCGTTGCAAATAAAAAAAAAAAAAAACAAATTAATTTTTGTAAAGCTAATGCACTCAAAGTAAACAAAAGAACAAACACACCTTCAAGCCAAACATGAACCTTAAGCTATTTTTATAAAAAAAAATGTATGATAATTCATGATTTCTATTGCCACCGACCAGGTAGTCACCTCTTAGGCAATGACTCATTTCTCGGCTGGGGTGTCTTTCCCAATAATTGTACAAAAACAAAACATGACGTGTATTTTCTTCAAAGAAATAACGAAAAAAAAAACAGAGAAATACACAGAACTTATGAATGAATTAAATCAACAACTGCACAAATACTAAACTTTGGAGGAATTAAATAGTATTATTCATTTCAATTTTACTACGAACCGCCGGCAACAAAGCCAGCCATAGTTGTTGTAAATATTGGTAGTAAAATTCAAAAGGGAGGGTATATTGTATAATTATTTGGTTTGTGATGTCATTTTGCATTTTGCAGGAAGGCGGCACACTTGGAGGCGAAAACAATTAAGAAAATTTTAAAATAATAGCAATAAAAAAAACAATACTACAAAAGTGTGAAAAAATAATAACGAAAAATATTGCAAAATTTATTTAGCCACCAGGCATGGGGGCGGGACTCATAAAAACAAATTAAATTCCATGCAATGTTGCAGATATTAGTAGCAGCTAACTTAAAGTCTTAAGGCTCTAATAGTTTTCCCAATTATTATTCACACCCCTGTTTTGGGGGACCACCCCCTTGTTTTGGTATTCTTCTGATCAAATGGTGATAAATAAATTTCAATCACCAAAGTTCTAAGTCCATATGCAAATTAAGTTTTCAAATATTTTTTTTTTTACCGCAGACTCACGTTTCAACCATCAAATTGATTTGTCATGAATGAAAAATCGGACTCCATAGTTACATATGATTCTAAAAATAGCATATTATATGTTTTGCTCAGAGTTGCGAAGGGGTCTTAATTGGCATTATCAATCGGTTTCTATTTATTTTATTTGCTTAGAAATAAATCCAAATGATTCATCCATTGATTAGGTTTTTTTTTCGATTTTTGGCTAGATTTGTATTAATACTCAAACGAATTCTTTATAAGGCAAGAACGATTTTTTTCGATTCAAAATGTGAGTCACTGCCTAGCATAGAAACCAATTGTTTAAATATTTTCATAAACAAGTTAAAAATAGACTTGTGGTCGGATATATTTATAAATAATTTAAATTAATTTTTAAATATTAAATATGGACAAATATTGGACAATGACATCTGATGACATCTACTCTACAGCAGATAAACTCAAAATTTATCTACCTCATAGTAGATGACATCTACTCTATAGTAGATGACATCGGATGACATCTACTCCACCGTGGATGACATCAGAAGACATCTACTCCACAGTAGATGCCATCATAAAACATCTACTTCACAGTAAATGGCATCGGAAGACATCTACTTCACAGTAGATGACATCGGAAGACTTCAAAGTAGATGACAATGGATGACATCTACTTCACAGTAGATGACACCTGGGACAATCAAATCTGCAGTTGATGACTCTATCGTAGATGACTTCGAACGTCATCTACTCTATCGTAGATAACTTCGAACGTCATCTACTCTATCGTAGATGACTTCGAACGTCATCTACTCTATCGTAGATGACTTCGAACGTCATCTACTCTATAGTAGATGACCTCGAACGTCATCTACTCTATAGTAGATGACTTCGAACGTCATCTACTCTTCCGTAGATGACATCGAACGTCATCTGCTCTGTCATAGATGACTTCAAACGTCAACTACTCTATCGTAGATGACTTTGAATTTTATCTACTCTATC